ATGAACTAGAAGAATAAAACATCACAGTTATCGATAAAACTAAAATAGTTATTTGTTTTTCCTTCAAAGAGCATTCCAGTGCATTATGTTCCTTTTCACAATGAAGTGAGTTCCCTTCTATCAACAGGCTACCTACAATTTTGTGACCTGGTAGAAATGATTCCCCCTTTCCCTTTAAATCTCAAATACAAAACTAGAGGCGGCTCCTGGGCAGTCTCCCAGATCCCACCATCTGTGACCAGCAGCAGGACGAACTGGGCTCGAGCTCCCCTGGTCCTCAAGACAGCAGGGGTGCCCTGGGCTGTCCCTGCGCCCTGATGTCACCATGTCCCCAGACACTGATGGGTGGTGCGGGTCCCACGGCCAGAGAGTCCAGTGCTCTCTTTGTGGCTCCATGCCAACCATCACTAGAACACTGCGCTCTTCACCGCCAGCTGTGTCCACAGACATCAGGAAGTTCTGGAAGCCCAATACCTACTGGAAAGCACCAACATCATGCTCAGCTCTCACAGGCAGCTCTTGGGCATGCCGAGACCCTGCAACTACTTGCCAAGATGCCACCAGACAGACCTGCCAGTGCCCACAGCTGGTGGTCCCTGAGGCCTGGGGGTTCTTTTTCAGGAGGCAACCCAATCCTATCACCTGGTGCTTCTCTCCCATGCCAGGAGCATCACGTGAGGTGAAGAGTTTGGTCGGCTGAACATCCGAGAGCATCCAGACACTGGTGCCAGGGAGGGGGTGCTAGGATGGGAGGAAGACATTGGACAAGAAAACAGAAGTGTGAGCAGGAGACAGAGTCAGGGCATGGGCCACCATGAATAATCACTGATGACTGATGTGGACATCGGGTCCCTTCCTTGTGCTCAGGGGGGACTCTGAACAGAAGCCTCCACTCCAGAGAAAATGTATGTGAGGATAAGATGGAAGCAAAGCCAAATATCCAGCCATCCCTGTCTGCACCCAGTAACAGAAGCTTAATAAACACTCATTAAATGGATGAGGGAAACCACACAATGGAAGACTGTCACTCTTGCGCGACACTCGGGGATCAGAGCATGTTCCGTGTAGACACAGGGTCACTGACATCAGCATTGGAGAAGGCCAGCAAGTGCTCACGGCTGTCCTGGAGAGGTGCCTTTACTACTTGAGTGTCAGGAGGGAGGACGGGGCCTCCTAACACTGACGGGTCAGATCCCCAGCCATCCCAGGAAATCACACCCTCTCCCCATCTCTACCTTGTGAGTGACTTCTCTCCCAGGAGGGCCTGGGCCAGCAGCCTGTGTCCTTCCTCTTCTCACAGAGACCTGTCCTGGCACAAACTCTGGATCCTCCACCCCAAGTAAAGTTACCACCAGGGGAAAAGGGAGCCTAGCCATGACCTCAAAAGAATCATGGGGCAGTTCCTCACCCCAAGGTTCCCCAGTCTGTGGAGACACCTAGCTCTGGTCCCCTGAAGACATCTCAGCAGCCCAAAGCATCTCAGTGAATGAGGGAAACTTCCCATGCAGGATCGGACAGGAGAACCAGGATCTGCATTAGCTTCCATCACAGAGGGACTGAGGGTCCCATGGGTGCCTCCCCCTTCCTAATAGAGGAAGCCACAGGATCCCCTGTTTGAGTCTCCACTGGAGCTGCTCTAGCTCCTGGGCCCTGTGGGGAGGCCTAGAGCAGAAGACAGACAGGAACACAGATGACCCAGATACAATGCCCCAGTGCTGTGATGGGAGAAACCCAGACCATTCCAGGGACCAGCCCCCAAGGCCAGTGCCCTCTCCCAAAAGCAACAAGAGACCCCTCACTAGGTCCTTCCTTTGCAACCTCAGGGACAGAAAGCTCCTCCTGAGGCAGCACATCCACCAGGCAGCACAGGACACTGGAACAGGATTCCTCTGGACATCGCCTGTCCTCTCCCTGGGCTCACCCAGCACTGGGTTGGAGTCAGGCAGCCTGGGGACGTGCAGTGACCAGGATCCAGTCTGACTGGCTTCTGCAACCCGGAGGTCAGAGCAAACCTCTGTCCAGGGCTCAGGACCAGCTCACACCTTTTGGAGCCTGGTCAACATCCCTGGTGCCTCCCCTGACATTGGCCACAGGTCTCTTCATGCCCTCCAGGGGGCGATATCAGGACACACAGACAACACAGAAATTAACACATGAAAGTGGCTTTGACTAAGGAGGTGGAGAAGGAGACTGCCTTTCATCCCTTGCTCAAACAGTCCCTTCTGTGTCCTTCCTATCTTCCTGGAATGCCCCACCCATTCCTTCTAGGGGCATCAGAGCACCCTACTCTGTCGGGAGTCCCTTTGCAGCTCCCCACTCTCTGCCTGGCACCACCCATGGGGAAGGCAGAGTGACCACAGGAAAGTCAGCCATGCAGAGCACAGAGGCCCCAGGATGGTCAGGGAGCACATGGACAGGCTCTGAGCCACAGCTCAGCCAACAGACATGGAGAGGGCGTGGTCCTCCTGAAACTATCCCCAGAGGACCAGGGACCCCACAGCTACCTGACGTCCCACCACCACGGTCCTCTCACCCGGGACACATAGGAAACTGCCCACTTCACACCTGGGAACTGCAGCTCCTTCTGACACACCCGTACTGCCTGTCTGTCCCTGGAAGCAGAGGCCAGGTTGATGACACTGGAGATGGACGGCAGGTCCCCTCACCAGCGATCACTCAGCTTGCCCCTTTCTCACCCGAGAGTCATCTTTGTGACCTTCCCGTTAAGAGTAAATCCAAAAAAAAAAAAAAAATGTTTAGTTTCTGACTTTTTCTGATTTATTTCATTGTCTTTGATAAATAAAACATGCAGCTTTGTTTTGCAAAAAAAAAAAAGAGTAAATCCAATCTTTCCAGAGTGTTTGAAGACACTGGGAAGACCCTGGTGCCCAGATGGGTTTCTGTGTCACAAGTGGAAATAATCTCCCCAGGTTTGAGGATTCCTGGGTCTCTGTGTGGTGCTGACACACCCCCAGGCCAGGACACAGCAGAGGCCAATGCTGGGGTGAGTGGATCATCCTCTCAGGGGAAAGGGTTCCCCATCAGCCTTGCTATTGAAAGTGTGCTCTGCAGGTCAGCGTGTTCAACATCACCTGAGAACTTGTTAGAGGCAGACTATTGGGTCCACCCTACATCTCTTGGGTCAGAATTCGCATTTTAACAGCATCTACAGACCCTTCCTGTGCACAGGAGATGAGGAGAGGCACCCCATCCCTCCCATCATGGGGTCTCAGCCTGGCAGGGCATTCATGTTACGAGGGCAGCTGCTAAAGTAGCATTTCTAAGGTGTCACCTGGACATTCACAATCTTTATAAAGTTCCTCAGGTGATTCCGATGCACAGCATGGGTGACATCCCTGTTATAAGTGTTCCTGATGTGGCCCCTGGCTCCTTCTCTGAATGGAAAAGTCAGAAGGGGATGAGAGAGGGGGAGTCCAACTGTGCACACCAACCAAGAACATGGGGACTGCCCAGAACAAGACACCCCAGGCTTGTGCTTGTCCAAACAAAGGTGTGTGTGTGTGTTATGTGTGTGTGTGTATGTGTGTGTGTGTTGACAGAGAATCACTGCCGAAGAAGGCAGAGACCTCAGCAGTTCCCAGGAAACGGAAATACATGTAGAAGGGAAAGAGGAAGAAGGGGATAAGATGGCAGGAATGAGGGGAGGGAGAGGGAGGTTCTGGGGCCCATGTGACTCGGAGAGGCACCCCTCCCCCTGGAAGGGGATCAGGAAGAGGGAGAAAGGACAGCAGAGTTGAAGCATCTGGACAGCAGTGCCTGCGAGCATTTCTGGAATAGAAGCTCTTCTCACAGAGGGACACACAGAGCAGGTAGCAGACACCATGGAGCCCCCCTCAGTCCCTCCCACAGAGGGTACATCCCTTGGCAGGGGTTCCTGCTGGCAGGTGAGAGGGGGTGATTCCATGAGGGCAGGCAGGAGATGGGAGAACAGAGACTGGCTGGGGTTCCTGGAGAGGACATTGTTCGGAGAGGAGACAGAGGACTTCTGTTTGGCCTTGAGGGGAGCAGACACAGGAGAAGGGTAGGATGGGGGAAGGGGACTCAGCCATAGGAAATTCTCATGATCTGGAAGTGGGGAGGGGCAGGAATATCTCAGTTGCTGTACCTTTCCAAGTTATTTATCACACAATAATTTTTGAAAATTGATGATAATAATAATTTATTTGAGGATGACACTTGAAAAAACTTAACTAGGGACACTAAACACAGTACTTACTCACCACCATTAGAAATTGGCAAGTAAACGCCAGGACATGGAGGGCCCTGGGAACACTCGTTCATTCATCCACAGGTGTTTGCAGCCTGTTCCAGGCACTGGGGGTACAACAAGATCAAATAAGTCTCTGCCTTGATGGAGCTCACGTTCTATGGGGAAGAAGATGGACAAGCAAAGAGAGCTCAAATGTGATGTCAGGGACTTACAAGTGTCATGAAGGGAACAGAGCAGGGAAAGGTGAAAAAGTGAAGGCTAAGGGGTATTTAGAGCACGTGGTCAGGTAAGGCATCTCCCAAGGACACGACTGAGAATGAGCAGGGCACAGAGGGCAGTGAGGGAGTGAGCCGGGCAGACGCTTGGGGAAGAGTATTGGGAACAGAGGAAATAATAAGTTCAGAGGGGCTGAAGTAATGGTGGTCATGCTGCTGACCTTGGCCAGTAGGACATACACACACACACACACACACACCCAGATTCAGACTCCAAGTCTAAGAGATGAAGAGACCTGCTCAGGACCCAGGGCCTTATCTTTCCATCCCAGTACATAGGTACAAATATTGATCTCTCTCTCTTCCCTCTTAGTCTCACTCTTAACCTTCTGGAACCCACCCACCACTGCGCAACTCACTATTGAGTCGGTGTCGTCCAATACTGCTGCAGGGAAGGATATTCTTCTACTTCTCCACAATCTGCCTGGGAATCTCACAGGCTATGTCTGGTACAACGGGACTACAGTCAAAACATCACATTTGCATTATATGTAATAGACATACAAGAAATTACCCCAGGGCCTGTATACAGTGGTTGAGAGATAATGTACCCCAACGGATCCCTGCTGTTCCAGAAGGTCACCCAGAAGGATACAGGTTACTACACCCTACAGGTTATGAAGAAAACTTTTCAAAATGTAGTAGGAATTGTACAGCTCCACGTATATAGTGAGTGATTCCTCTCTGACCTCCGGGTGTTGGGTGGAGTGAATTCTACTTCACACACACAGGATTGAACAGGCCTGCACTGTGCTTACATCCCTGTCTACACTATGTCTCATGTTGGGGTTTGAGCATTTAGTACAGGACACAAACAGTGGAGAATTCATTTGTTTTCTGATGTGCTGGGGTCACTCCCACTGGAGTGTAAAGGAAGGACTTTGCCTTCTCACCCCCCACTCTACATGTGCAGCCAGCACATACTGACACTTGAGAAAGTCTGTGCTTTTTCCAGACATAGAGCAGGCGGCCTTAAGTTATCTGAGTGCTCTGATCCTCATGCATTTGTCTTGAGATACACAAAGCTGCCTTATTCTTTTAAGGACTTGGGTTGGTTGAGAGGTGAGTTGGCATCTCTAATTCAAGATTCGTGGGAGGAATCAAGGTACCACACAGGGCAATGTTCTCTGCTACCTGCACAGAGGAGTTACCCACAGCCGTCATCACAACTAGCAGCTCCAATGTCATGGAGCACAAGGATCATATAGTGTTAACGTCAACCTGAGACTCAGAACACCACCTACATGTGGTCAATCAACAGTCAGAGCCTGGAAATAATAGGTCATATGGTATTTCTATGTAAAATTTTCTTAATAATCACCATACCACTTTCCACAGTAGCTGCACCATTTTACCTTCCTGCCAACAATGCACAAGGATTCCAGTTGCTCCATATCCTCTCCAGGACCAGTTTTCTGTTTTGTTGACAGTAGCCATTCTAATAGATATGAGTGGGTATGTCATTGTAGTGTTGATTTGAATGTCTATTCAAGGGCTTTGCCCATTTTTCAATCAAGTTATTTGGTTTTGTTGTTGTTGTTGAGTTTAGGAGTTCTTTGTGTATTCTGCATATTAACCCCTTATTGATATATAACTTGCAAATTATTTTCTCCCATTCCATAGGTCAACTTTCACTCTGTTGATTGTATCCTTTGATGAACAGAAGTTTTTTATTTTGACAAAGTCCAATTTATCTATGTTTTCTTTTTTTGCCTGTGTTCTTAGTGTCATATTCAAGAAATCATTGCCAAATCCAATGTCATGAAGTGTTCCTCCTATATTTTCTTCTAAGAGTTTTATAGTTTTATGTCTTACTTTTGGCTTTGATCCATTTCCGCTAATTTTTGTATATGGTGTAAGGTAATTGTTCAGCTTCATTCTTCTGCATATGGATATCCAGCTTTTCAACACTATTTGTCAAAAAGACTATCCTTTCTCCATTGAATGGTCTTGGCTCCCTTGTTGAAATCATCTGATCATATAATCGAAGCTTTATTTCTGGATCTCTGTTGTATTCCATGATGTATAAGTCTGTCATTATACCAGTGCCACACTATTTTGATTCTTTAGCTTTGTGGTAAGTTTTAAAATCGGGAAGTGTGAGTCCTCCAATTTTGTTCTCCTTTTTTAAGATTGTTTTAATTATTCAGCGTCCCTTGAGATTCCATATGAATTTGAGGTTGGAGTTTTCTATTTCTGCAAAAAAGTCACTGGGAGTTAGGTAGGGATTTTATCCAGTATGTCGAGAGTTTGGGGTATATTGGCATCTTAGCAATATTAATTCTTCTACTCTATGATCATGGATGTCTTTCCATTTATTTGTGTCTTCTTTAATTTCTTTCAAAATGTTTGGTAGTTTTCAGTGTATACAACTTTTACCTCCTTGGTTAAGTTTATTTCTAAGAATTTTCAACTTCTGATGCTTTGTAAATGGAATTGTTTTCTTAAAATATATTTTGGATTGTTCATTGTTATTGTATACAAATGTAACTGATTTTGAGTGTTGATTTTGTTTCTTACAACTTTGCTGAATTTATTAGTTCTAACAGTATTTTTGTGTGTGGGTGGAACTTTAGGGTTTTCCACATATAAAATTATGTCTTCTGCTAAAAGAGCTAATTTTTCCTCTTCCTTTCCAATTTGTATACATTTTATTTCTTCTTCTTGCCTCATTGTTCTGGCTAGGACTCCTGCACTATGTTGAATAGAAGTGGTGACAGCAGCATCCTTGTCTTCTCCGTGACTTAGAGGAAAATTTTCCGTGTTTCACCATTGCGTACTACGTTAGCTGTGGGCTTTTCATTTATCTTTGTCGTATTGAGTGGTTTCCTTCTATTCCTAACAGTGCCTGTCTTTTGTTAAAACTGTAACCACTTCTCTAGAGATTTCCTTCACTATGATATTCAATCCACAGCTCAGGAAATAAAAGTCCTGTTCAGAGTGAAGAAATCTTTAGCTAGAAGCTCTCCAGGACCTATGGCTGTGAAGACTGGGCAGGGCCATCCTCATTCCCTAATAAGTAATATTTAACAAGAAGTAAATGCTTTCCCAGTTTATGTAACATACCCTTGGCCCCAGACATGGATGGGGCTGGCAAGCCTGCCTTCCACAACACACACAGAAGTGTATTATAAGGAATGTGGCCTGATCTTTTTTGAAGTCAAAGAAAGTTCTAGGAAAAAATCAATCAAGTGCATGAGAGAAAAATTTCACCTAATGATGAAGTTGTAGGGCATGTGAGAGGAGAAGAGTTTCCTGGTGCTGATACTACAGAGGTGTGCAGGGGGACTGATCCAGGGTCAACCTGTGGTGATATGGGTGTCAAAGGGGGAGGTGCAGCCCTCACCTTACAGATCATCACCTGAACAAACACATTTGACGTTCTGCTGATGGTCAGGACCATCTTCTGGGTCACCTTTACAGAATTCACTGTGGCCTTGTGAGTGGCTGAGATCTCTGAGGAAGAAGCAGGGCCCACTCTCAGTCAGTCACCTGCTCTGTTTCTCCAGAGAACTAGTGGCACAGCCCTCCATCCAAGCCAGCAAGACCACAGTCAAAGAACATAAGGAAGCCATCGTCCCAACCTGCCTCACAAATGACACTGGGATCTCCATCCAGTGGTTCTTCAATGACCAGAGTCTCCAGCCCACAGAGAGGATGAAGCTGTCCCAGGACAACAGCACCCTCACCACAGACCCCATCAGGATGGAGGATGCCAGGGATTATCAGTGTGAGGTCTCCAACCCAGTCAGTTCCAGTAAAAGTGACCTCCTCAGGTTAGATGTGAAACATGAGTGATCCTCTTCCCCTCCTGTACGTTGTTAAACTCTAAATAGAATCTTTTTCTTATCTGTAAAATGATGGTCATGATGTACTTTATTTATAGAGTTGTTGTGAATAGGCAATTGAAAAAGGTGGAATAAGTGAGTCAATAAATGTTCAAATATGTGAACTGACATTGTCACTATTGTTGGCTTAAGGTCACATTCCACTCCAGATCCCAGCTCTTGTTGCTCTCCACTGCACCATCTCCTCAGTGGAAGGACAGGTAGCGGTCGTGGGATGAGGGGTG